CCCAGGACACTGGCTTTCGCCCCCGCGAATGATATCCTCCCGTCCTTAGCAGCCGCGGACCTTTCCTACCACCTCTTGGCAGGCGCTGAAATGTAGCAGTTTGCTTTCAGTCATTCAGACCAAAAAGGTCTTGCGGACCTTTCATTCAAAATTTATCGCAAAGTTTTCATACAGTCCTTTACCTCAAAATTTCTTCCATATAGTGTCAGGTAAAAGAGGTCCCTCTTTCCCAAAGCTAATTCCTTAACTTCATTCAGCAGTTACTGGATATTTTTTAAAGATGCACTTGGGAGGAATGAAGAGGGGGAAACACCGAGTTGAATATATAGTTTAAACTTGATCCATTTATTTGATTAATTTGTTTCCTCAAAAAAAAAAAAACTGCCTAGTTATTAATCCTGTTTACCCTTTCTACTGGTTCCCTTCTCTACGAAAAATGCTGCTCCTCTCTATACATACACACACCTTCTATTATTCTGCTTTATGGCCTCTTTGCACCTCTCTTGATCTCTCCTCTTAAAACCCTCCAGACCTAGTAGCATCTTCTGAGTACTGTGATCAGGGTCAAGTTGAACCGAGGGCCAACGTAAACTTGTAGGTTCTCTATTGATGGTATAAATTTTATGACAGCGTTTTCCAGACTTAGTCATTTGTTTACCACTTCTTGGTCACTTTGTTATATTCATGATTTTCTAGTGACAAAGAGATCTGCAGGCAGTAAAGCCAAGCTACCTACATCTGAGTGCTGGCTCTCTCTTGTTTCATCCTAGCTTTGTACCTTGGATGAGTAGCAATAAGCCCAGTTTTCTCATCTGTAAAAGCATATTTAGATGACTGGCCCCAGAGGCTTGCTGTGAGGATATAAAGCAGTTAACTCATGTAAAGCATCTAGGAAAGAATTGGTACACGACCGTACTCAACAAACATTAGCCATCATCTTACACCTCAATATCTAACCTTCTTGCCCACTGAAAAGGAGGAATAGAACTCTTGACTCCAAATCTCCTTAGACATTTAGTAGAGCCAACACAGGCTCCACCCCATAGTAATGGATGCCTCAAATTCAAACATCTCCCATAGCTTCTTTACCAAGTGCTCTAAATGTTACGCCTCAGCCACAAATATTCAAAACTTTCCACAATGAATGATTCCAGATTAATCTCCCACTGGCTCCTTAAATGTTCTCTGCTCTTCCATCAGACTTTTACCTATTTCCTAAGCACTCTACCCTGTTTCACCTTCCTCCACCTCAACTCCACCTGTTGAAATCCCACATCCCTTCCAAATCTTGCCAGCTCAGTTAAGTAAATGGTTTTTATGCCAACTATACAGTTTCTACCTTTCTTACAAAGCAGAACCCATTTCCTTTTATAAACTGGAAATGCCTTCTCCCACCAGAATGTATGCAGACTACTTTTCTATTTCTTGTATGTCTTATGGTGTTTTGCACATAGTAAGTGCCCAGTATGCACTAAATTGGAGAATGGTCTCAACTCTTTGTCACTCCAACCCCAGTTAACTCCAAAATGATGGAAACCTCAAAGACATGAATTATTAATTCTAAGCTAGATCCATCCTTAAACTGGAGTCTTTGCTTTGATCCGACATAATCTAAAAGTCCTTTAACAAAAGGAAAACCATCAAGAATTATTTGAAAAGGATTTCTTTTTACACTGGAATGCTAACTTTACAGATAAAACATCTTAATTAAAAACAAAATTCATATATTCCGTAAACTAAATGTAGTATATATTCTATCTGCTCTCTATCCTATGAACATTAAAAACCTATGGGGCTGGGGCTCAGCGGCAGAGCACTCACCTAGCACATATGAGACACTGGGTTCGATCCTCAGCACCACATAAAAATAAATAAAATAAAGGTATTGTGTCCAACTACAACTAAAAAATAAAAATATAAAAAAAAAAAACAAACTATGAGGCTGGATGCAGTGGCACATGCCGGTAATCTAAGTAACTTAGAGAGTTGAGGTAAGAGGACTGCTAGTTAAAGGCCAGGGTCAGCAACTTAGCCATATTTGAAATACTATTCAAGATACATCTCCTTTTAGCCCTGAAGGTTAAATTCTTGCCAGATCCTAAGAAATGTGAACCTATAAGAATATTCCTAGCCTCATAGTTTTAATCACTTCACCATATTATCAAGTGTATTCTTATCTCTAACTTTAAAATATTTTAGAAAATAATCTGTTCCAATGTTGAATAACCAAGTTAGTGATAATCAACATCTCTCAGTTCTAGATTTAATTTTCATGTTGGCATCCTAATCCCTTTATTTTCCTTTTGTTTGGATTTTTTGGTTTCTGTGACGTGGTAGAAGGAGAGTAAGTCGTATGAACAATCTTAAGTAAATTACATTCTATTTTTATAAGGCAACAGATTCATGTCTTTTAAAATAGATTTTATTAAATAACTACTTGGATAATAATTACAAAGGCTTTAAATAGAAATTCCAAGTAGTGAAAGACAATTTCCTTAAAAAAAAAAAGACAAAATATCCATATTGTTTTGCTGCTTTATACACAGGAATGATTTATTTTACACATTAGTCACAACATTTAGCCTGTAAAAATTAAAAACATTTCTTAATATGTCTCAAAGGCAGAATGAATTCCATAATGATGTTTTCACATTAACCAGTATGACAAAGCAGAAGAAATTTAAGACTATGATAACAATTCAAAATAAAATTTACAAAACAGGCACTTGGAAGTCAGCTACTGTGTAATTTTCACAGTTGATGTTATCTGTACACATTTCATCAAAGGTTGTCAACCAGTGAAGCCAATGTTCCTTTGATGCAGACTCACAAACAGGTTTAGGTTCCAAACACTGTGTTCTGGTTGTGATACATGCAAGACAGACCCTAAATAAGAAAAGTCTTCTGAAAGAAAAAGAAGAAAAACAAAAAGCAGCCAGGAATGAAAGCATTTACAAGCATTTGAATAAGGCCTTTAAATATTAAGTCAGTGTTTTAAACCCCTTCATTCTCAGGTAAGGGATTAAGAGGCCGAGAGAGAGATCGTCTGTGAGGGTGAGGATACTGGAGGTTGGCAGTGTCAGCATCGCAAGAGGGCTCTAGCAGAGGAGGAGGAGGAGGAGGAGGAGGAAGGAGCTGGGCATAACTGGACCATCTCGATCCAGCCCGTGGGGAATCCAGAGGGGGAAAGAAATACCTGAAACAACGGAGACAGGAACAAAACACCAAAACAAAACAAAACAGGAAAAAAAAGAAAAGAAAAAACAAAACAGAAGAAAAAGAGAAAAGTAGTAAATACAAAGAGATCCAAAGAGGAGAAAACACATGCTGGAAAAAAAAGCTTTAGTATATTCATGCCAAACTAACAGAACATAATAGCACAAACCAAGACCCTTACTCAAATCAAGACTGCTTAAGCAATTATAGAAACTTGAAGGAAAGAAATACAATCTGTTAAAATATCAAAGAAATTATCAGTATGAATGTTACAAAGACATTAATTTTATAAATTTAAAACGTTGTCTAACCTCTCAGAAATATGTCTGATGCCATTCTGTAAACTGGCAATCTAATGTGCTTTCTCGCTAAGAGCAGTGCTCCATCTGTATCAGCAGCAGGCACACGTTTTTTTAGTGCATACATGATACTGAAAACCAATTTGAATACACTTTCACATTGTATTTCTGGCTATTGCAACATACTTTTGAAGAAATACAATCATTAAATATACTTATTTTTCTGCAAAAACCTTAAAATAGCTACAGAATTTTGATATGTAAAAGGACTCAAAGAATTATTATGCCCTATTATCATTATTGTGCCACTGTATAACTTACCCGTAATACTTATGCATTTTAGCAAATGTAAAGATTTATAGCTATGTCATCAAGATCAGAGCTTTAGAGGACATGAACAAGCTGAAACAGCAAACTAAAGGAAGTCCTGAGACATGAGATTTGTAAGTTAATTTGCATGCACACTTTTAGCAAAACTGTAACTGATTATATTTCCAAATTGTGTCTTGAAGGAAACTTTAAGCCATGAAATCACATCACAAAAATATACATGCACATATCAGAAACATTTAAGTCTTTAGTGAATATGAATTGGAAACATATAAAGCTGTTTCCATTTCCCACCAAATTATGAATAAAACAATACCAAACACTCCACTTGGCTACAAACTGTACAGTCAAATTACTTTCATCTTACTTAATACTACTTTGCTAATTTCCTCATTTACTACTACTTTTTAAATATTACAAAGGAATGACAGTTGTATGAAATAATATCATTTATAAAACAATTCTACAAAAGGTAAACAAATTAGCACTCAAAACAATCTTTATGAAAAATATTTATTCAATCTTCGAATTAAAATTATAAAAATTCATCATGTTTAGCTTATTTAGAAAACAAAAGAAATATATCTATATTCTCCAAATGGAATAAAATGGTATCTTCCCTCCTCCCAACCAGTTATAAGGATTTAACAATCCTTTTAATTTTCAAATCCAACTGAGTTTCAGCAACATTTCAAAAAATTGTTTTGGTGACAATGTCTCAACAAAAAGCCTCTCCACTTAAATCTCAAGAGTTTCAAATAGTGTCAATAAACTGACTATACAAAAAAAATGATATCAACTGCATTTCTAAAGGCCTTTGGGGCTGCGTTTAGTAGTAAGCAGGCTGCTGGTGTGTCCTGGGAGAGGTCAAACGGCGCTGGGGAAGGGG